CCGCAAAGCCTCTTACAGCTACAGAGTCATACGGGCAGCTGGCAGACAGCCTCGGGACTTGAGACACATTTATCCTTTTACTGAACTGCCCCAGGCCTGGTACTGGGGGTAACTGACTTCGGCTTGCAGTGTGGTCTTTCCAACTCACCTCCAGATCCAGCAGAGATAGCAACCATCTATGGATCATTTTGTAGCTCCTATTAGGTAGCCCTGAGCAATCAAAGGTAGCAGCTGACCTTGACCTACAGGGGAGCCCCTCCCAAGTGTCCCCAGAATAAACACACCTGGAGGCTGGCATCAGACCACAACAGAGAGTATTTCAGGCAACAGGACAGAGGCTTTCCCAGCTATATTCCCCCATCAGCATCTTCATCAACCAATTAGAGTGGCTCTATTCTCCAATCAGGACAGTGCCTTCTGAACCAATCAAACTGCAAGGATTTGAAGTCCTCATTTACATGAGGATGAACCAATCATGGACTAGGGGTGTGGACTTCTGTTTTTATAAGTCAGCTTGCCTCTGGCTCAGGGAACTCATTGTCTCTTTCCACTGAAGTCTGTATTTCCCTATCCGGAGCCGAAACACCGAAGATGAAACACTGAAGGTGGCTTGCTAGAGCAGAGCGGAGTAGACCAGTGCAGGGCAGAGTGGAGCTGACCATACTAGAGTGGGTAGAGCAGACCAGACCAGAGTATAACAGAGCTGTCTAGCCAGACAGGGGCCTGGCCCCATGGCTGCCTCATAGCCATGCTGCTTCATAATTGAGCTGTAACATTCCTGAGCTGTTCCATAGCCATGCTGTATCACATTTGATCTGCTGGCACTGAATAAAGTTTCCTTCATCATTGTACCCCAAACTGGGGATTCTTGTTGGTGTTGAATTGATGGCAATAACCATCAATTGACATTCTGAAGTGCTAAGTAGAAATTTAATCAGTCTAGACATACAGAGAGGATAGGTGATTCGGACTTAAAATATGCTTATAATTGAATTTAGCTATCAGTGATTGTCAAATTAGGGCTTTCCGGTCAAGATGGCGGGCTAGGTAAAAGTGGGACTTGCCTCTTCCCATGACTGCATTAAAATTACAACAAAA